TAAATACTAAATTAATTTTCGAATTCACAGTAATTTCGTTTTCACTATAAATGACAAAAAATTTTCAAAATCTCATATTTCGATCAAACAAATCATTAAGTCATTTACTTTAGCACGTTTTAAAGTTAATGACTTGTGCTTTAATAAGTATATAAAAATTTTTATGCAAAAACTTTTGTTACAAAGTAGCAACTTGTCAGACTTGACATTTTTTTTTTTTAAAAATTGCTTTCTTCAAATGTGCAAATTTTTGAAAAAAAATTAAGATAAATTGAATTAGTAATTTTTAGGTGAAAGTAGAAGACCTGAACACGATATCCTGAATGTTTTATAAAAATTGAATCATTTTTGAAAATATTATGACACTTTGAGAAATGACAATTTTTTAGAAATTTTAAGTGTCTCGAATAATTTGGAAGGGTACTATATATATATATATATATATATATAATCAAGTACTCGCACACCCCACAATCAACCACGGACTGGCTCACAATAGCAGCCAAAGTGGTTGATCACCACACTTGCCCCACCACTGACCTCCCTAGTCACTATGATTGACTTCGGTGATCTGTTGGGAACTGTGTCGTAACGATTTGTCCACCGCCGAAAACTTAAAAAGTAGACCAAAAAATATATTCCTAACCCTTCTCATATCATATTTGCGTCACTATCGATTTCAGCGACACCTGTGCCAATTGCTTAGGGTGTCACGGACAAAATAAATTTTTTTTAAAGATGTTTAATAAATAGTTTTCAAAATATGTATATATTTTTAAAGTTTTTAACATTTATGCCATGACTTAAAATTGGTACCGAAGTTCTCTTGTGAACCAAAAAAAGGTAAAAAATCACTAAAGTGTCCACCAAATGACTCCTCAAATGCAGGATTTAATATTAATTCATCTATAACTGAAATGGATAATAGTGTACTTAAAGAGTAGGCCAAAAAGAATATTCCTAACTTTTTTCATATCATATTTGCGTCACTATCCATTTTAGCGACACCGTAGCTAATAATCTAGGGTGTCACGGACAAAATAAAGTTATTTTTAAGGATGTCAAATACATAATTGTTATCATATGTATATATCTTTTAGAAATTTTGACACCTATGCCATGACATAAAATTAATACCAAAGTTCTCTTGTGAACCAAGAAAATAAAAAAAATAATTAAAGTGTCCACCAAATGATCCCCTCAAGTAGAGTGTTTGATATTAATTAGAAAGCAAAGGAGAACAATTCCTCTATCTGAAATAGAAAATAGTGTACTCAAAAAATAGGTCAAAAATTTGTTGTTGCAGTTCATTTCCGTCGCACTAGAGCTCCACACTGGACTATTGGCGACTGTCTGGGAAACATCCCTGAGGATGATCCGAAGACAAGCCATTACAATTTCGATCCTCTGCAGAAGGGAGGGCACCCCCGCTTCGGTAGCCCGACGACTTACACGCGAAGTCGAGCACTTTACGGTAGAACAGTTTAACGAGGACCAATACCACACAACTTCGGTCCCTTCGCAGACTGATCCAAGTGGTCACCCACCCGCACACTGATCGCAGCCAATGATGCTTGATTTCGGTGATCTGCTGGGAACCCTGTCGTAAAGATTTGTCCACTGCGAAAACTTAAAAAGTAGGCCAAAAAAATCTATTGCTAGCCCTTCTCATATCATATTTGCGTCACTATCGATTTTATCTACATCTGTGCTAATGATCTAGGGTGTCACGGACAAAATAAAATTTTTTTAAAGATGTTTAATAAATAGTTTTCATCATATGTATATATTTTCAGAAATTTTGACACCCAAACTTAAACATTTCAAAAACTTAAAACTTTTGACTTAAAATTAATACCAAAGTTCTCTTTTGAACCAAGAAAATGTAAAAAATCATTAAAGTGTCCACCAAATGACCCCTCAAATGCAGGATTTAATATTAATTCAAGAGTAGGGTTCAAGATTTAATATTAATTAAGAGTATTAAATCAAGAGTACTTAAGGAGTACGCCAAAAAGAATATTCGCAATTCAAATAAACTATAGGTGGCGCTGCTGTCTCGGGCAAATGGCGTCAGAAAAAGGTAATACTGAGGTTGTACCTGCTTCCCAGTGTATAACTTAGTGATAACTGAGCATTTTTGTACTACCTAGCTTAATTTTATGGTCCAGTGATGGATTTTCTTAAATTAGTAGATATTTTAGCATATCTGGAAAGGGACGAAAAATCCAGGAGCATCACTGAAGGTGAAAAAATAATTAATTCAAACCACATTCTAACGTGTGGTGTTGTAAAGCAGCCATTACCGCGGAAAAGAATCATTTATGCGGTTTGCCTTCGTTCTACGAAGTTAAATTCTTCTCCGTATGTAATTGAAGGTGCTTTATTTCAAAGAATGTCTGGAAATGGATACGGCATATCCCAATTTAATTGCAGTTGTCCTGCTGGTGCTGTCTGCAAGCATGTGGCTGCAGTGTTGTTGTATTGTAACTGGGTATTCTCTTTTATGTATGGTTTATTGTTTCTTAAAATTTCATGAAATTCAATTTTGTTTCTATTAGTTTGCCGAACAATGTGGCAGAACTTCTATATAATGTGTAATCCTGAATTCAAAATGTAGACTTTTTTCAGTAATTTGATCAGCATAATCATGTAATTATGGCCTCAGTAAAATTAGTACCCAGATTGTTATTGATTAAAAATGCATGGATGGAAAATGCCAGGTTCATTGTATCTTTTCATTCCTTATAGTTTTTTTGTGAATTTATGCTTTGAAACATATTTATTTAGCAGATATAACCAGCCTAATTATGCATAATTAGGCTGTTGAAAAGTGTTCAATTTAATTGCTGAGTTATTAGCCAAATTATTTACTACAATGATTTTTTTTCTTATTGTAAGATCAATTTGCTATAACTTTTTTAAAAATTTTGTTTTGCATTTTGCTTATCAAATCTTAGTAACTTAGTTTATTTCATTTCTTACATTTCTGATTCATTAATTATTATTCAGTGACTAGAATAATAGTTATGTTTCAATTCAGGTCAATGTTAGGTACAAAAGGTATTCCACAATTATTATATACAAATCCTTGTATAAAATTTGTGTGTATAAAGGTCATTGAATCATATGGTTTTTTCTTATTATTATTGAAAATTCATTGAATGAAAACTTTTTGGTTATATAATTTTTTTCTAATTTTAGGCATGCAGTTTCTTCGTTAGAGGAAATATCTTCTACTGATAAGTCTTATTATTGGGATAAGCAGAAATCCTCTCTAAAAAAATATGACATTGTGCCTTTGCAAGACTTCTGTTGTGGTTCGCAGAAAAAAGATTATGCCGTCTCTCTCAGTGAGGATGTTCTTGGCTCTTATGAGTCAAAGATTTTGGAAGCCTGTCCAAATTCAGCTCTCGCAAGCCTATTGTGTAAGTTATTTTTCATTTTGGTGCTTTTTTTCGATTAAAGAATTGCTAATTTATTGCTCTAAGGGCTGATTACTGAAATACGAAATTGAAAATTTTCATGTATTATTAATTTCCTATATTTAAACAAGATTCTAACTAATTGTAGTCAAACATATAAGGAAGAAATATATTGCAACATTGCTTCTGATTTGAGATGTATTAATATAAAGAAATGCCATTTTACCTAGCAGATGATTTTTTAAATGATGACCATTTCAGAATTAGGAATTTTCTGTTCGATTTTGCACAGATTTGTTGCTGGTTTCGCCGACAAAACCTTGTAAAATAATATTGTGTTTGGATGAATAATTTAGGAATATTTTTTTGGGTTATTAATTATTGTTTTACATAATTCTCCAAATTAGCGTAATAATTATATGTCTAGTATATAGGTACCTCCATGAAAATAAATGCTAAGTATTCACAATCTCCTGACACAGACAGTGGCATGCCTAGGACTAAGTCTGAGAAAATAGGCTATAAGACCAGTGTTTGAAAAATTTTTTTTAACCTCTATTAGATACTACGTATTTAAGTTTAATATAGATGAAACCATTCCATAATGATCAGCATTCGATAAAATATTTTTCTTATTTAAAACATATACATAATTAAGCTTTTGCTATGATTATTTAAACCATGAGTATCTTTTCTAAAATTACAAAATTCTCAAAGTGGATAAAAAAAATTCCTGAATTACAATGAATTATTTTTGTCATGTCTTTTGCTTTGTTTTAGGAATGTAGCCGAGAAGGAAAATTTGGAAGAATCTGCTGTCCTGGAAAAAGTTTTTTCTACCAGTTTAGCTATCATCAACATTCCGAATTTGGATGATGTGACAGCCAAATTTTTCCAGGAAAAGGTATGCCTCACAAAACAAGAAGTTCGGAACCTAGCCTTGCAGAAGCAAGGGTCTAATAGTTGGATTTGTGAGCGTAAGAAAAGAATAACTGGGTCAACTTGCTACTCCCTTTTTACCTATAGCAGAAATAAAAATCCTGACTGGAAGAAGAAAATTGCCTCTGCAACAGAAGATGTTTTTTCTGGGAATGCTTATACTTTCCATGGACAGGAAATGGAAGAGAGAGCGAGGAACATCTTTTCCTGTGATCAAAATGTACAAGTCTTCTGCTTTGGATTGATAGTGCTTGAGCAGATGCCATGGTTTGGTTATAGTCCTGATGGACTTTATTTTGAAGACGGAAATTTAATTTTATTGGAAATTAAATGTCCGTTCAAGATGAGACTGTAACAACGGCAATAGTCTCCTTATCATATCTTTATGTTGATGCTAAGACTGGTCAATATTCTCTAAAGCCTAGGCATACTTATTATGGCCAGGTCCAGCTGGGATTGTATTTGACTGGAGCAGTTAAAGCTAAACTTGTAATATTTTCATCATTTGACAACAGCTATGTAGTGATTGAAGTTTTTCCGGCTCAGAATAATTTTTTTAAAACCTTAACTGATGTTTATTTTACTAATTTTTTACCTAATATAATGTAATGCTACTCTTTTTACTTTTTGTATAATTAGGATATATATTTTTTTTTAACATTTATTACTTTTACAATAGATCTTTTTGAGGAATTCTCTGAAAATTTTGTATATATATTTTTATTTTAAATTGCATTTATGTAAATATTTTATTGTATCATATTTTGTATTCATTTATTGTATCATATTTTATTGTATTCATTTATTGAATCATATTTTATTGTATTCATTTACTTTAATTTATGTTTTCGTAAGGGGAACTAACTCCTAGCCCCGGTTTACGGACCAAAAATAGGGCACTGGCAGGCCCTAGAGGGAGATTCTCTATGACGCTCAACAGTGAAGAATATATGAATAAAATTTACTGAAATTTAAGAGTAAAGTGTTGTAAATTAAGGTATGCAGCATTATTAAATTTTTTAATATTGTAATTTTAAAATCCAGGGGTGATTGGGAGTCCAACTCGAAATTCCGGAAAATTTCTTAAGTAAAATCATTAAAGACGCATATTGTCTTTATTAATTTAAATCATTGATATTTTCAAAACATTGAATTTTAAATAAATTATATACAGCATAATTTAAATGAATAATTATGTATACGTTTATTTTTATCTCTCATCACATTTATTATTCTATCAGAAAAAATATTTGCAAATGAAAGATTCCAAGTATAAATTCTAGTTCTTGGCAACTACAGCCCAAGGCTGTCCCAATAAGTTTTTGCCATCTTGATCTATTCTGCACCATGGCCTAGTTCTAATATTTTTAAATAAAATATTCTAGAATTTTTTTACACAAATGTCATCGATGATTTCTTAAAACTTCCGGACCTAAGATTTTCTGAAACTTCCAGAGCGCAGTTAGGGAAAAATCCAGATTTTTTCCTGAGCACAATCACCTCTGAAAATCAAAATTGTTTCAGTAGTTGAAGCACATGAATTTCCCTGTAGATAAAGGATTGGTTAGGTAAAGTTACATAAATCCTGTTGGACATCATCCATCCTGTAAATTGCAGATTATTTTTAACCTAACTTCCATAATTTTTTGTTACTTTTATAAGCATTGCTTTGATAAATTCATACACCTGTGCTAATAATTTAGGGAGAAATTTTTTTGAAAGATGTATAATAAATTGTTTTCATCATATGTATATATTTTTAGAAATGTTGACACCTATGCAATGACTTGAAATTAATACCAAAGTTCTTATGCGAGCCAAAAAAATGTAAAAAATCATTAAAGTGTCCACCAAATGACTCCTCAAATGCAGGATTTAATATTAATTCAAGAGCAAAGGAGAACAATCTCTATAACTGAAATGGATAATAGTGTACTTAAAGAGTAGGCTAAAAAGAATATTCCTAACTCTTTTCATATCATATTTGCGTCACTATCCATTTTAGCGACACCGTAGCTAATAATCTAGGGTGTCAAGCACAAAATAAAAAATTTTTTTAAAGATGTTTAATAAATTGTTTTCATGATACGTATATATTTTTAGAAATTTTGACACCTATGCCATGACTTAAAATTAGTACCGAAGTTCTCTTGTGAACCAAAAAAATGTAAAAAATCACTAAAGTGTCCACCAAATGACTCCTCAAATGCAGGATTTAATATTAATTCAAGAGCAAAGGAGAACAATCTCTATAACTGAAATGGATAATAGTGTACTTAAAGAGTAGGCTAAAAAGAATATTCCTAACTTTTTTCATATCATATTTGCGTCACTATCCATTTTAGCGACACCGTAGCTAATAATCTAGGGTGTCACGGACAAAATAAAATTATTTTTAAGGATGTCAAATACATAATTGTTATCATATGTATATATTTTTTAGAAATTTTGACACCTATGCCATGACTTAAAATTAATACCAAAGTTCTCTTGTGAACCAAAAAAATATAAAAAATAATTAAAGTGTCCACCAATTGAAACCCTCAAATGCAGGATTTAATATTAATTCGATAGCAAAGTTACAAGAGAGCTAAACTTAAAAATCTACTTATAACTTTCTGCGCATGCGTGAATCTGATTTATTTAACACTTTTTTTTTAAATTCGCATTTTTGTCCAAATTAGCACCCTGCCTGACAATTGGCGATCGAAATAGGCTGCAGGTGGCGGATTAATAAAAACTGCAATAATAATATATTGTTAAACTTAATCTATTGTATGAGTGTGTTAATCGTACTTTGTGTAGTTTTATTTTTTTTATCAAAATAGTATAGGATTTTTAAAGTAAATTTTCCACTTTTTTTTTATAGTTTGGTATATACGTAGTTTTCTTAATCATGATGTTCTTTACTGTAACAATGTTTAAATTACTCTATTTTTTTTTTAATGTTGTATCTTTCATCGCAGAAATGCATATCAAATTCATAGCAAAAAAAGTGTTTTCTTTTTGTTTAGCAAAACATTTTATGACTCTTTCTTATATTTCTCTAAGAGTTCAACTACAATGGGATTCACATAGGATTACATGACGTAATAATATACATTTATAAATTTCATGTCATTCTGATCAGAAGTTTTAAGAGACAAAATATTTAAAAAAAATTTCTTTTCAAAATAAAACTATATTTTTCTGTAGATGTTGAATTTAAGCAATTTTACTTTTATAATGCACTGTACCTAAATAAATAAATTCTGCCTATTTTTCAATTGAGACTTATGAAAAAAGAGTACATATATGATTCATAAAAGTGAAATGTGATAAAAACAAGTACATCAGATCAACATTTTACTGTGAATACGAGGTAAAATCTGGAAGTAGCATATTTTAGGTCGAAGCGTAGATTGATGGAAAAATCTATTACTTTAAATTTTCATCATTTTATTTAAAAATAAAGTTTACTTTCAAAAAAATATTGGAAACATTTTTATTAATATATGATAGGATAAATTTTAAAACAAACACTAATGTTTGACTTCATTTCTCAATCAGAAATTGACGCAGGTACCCTAAAAATTGAGCTCAAATTTGTCCATAAAAACTTTTAAGTTAGTTGTTTAGATGACGAAAAAAAAAAAAAAAGAAGTTAGGTGCAAATTTAGAAGTGTGGAAAATTCGCCAAGATTTCTTTATCCCTCTTCGTCTCGATTTAAGATCAACAATGACCCGAAAGAAATTAAACCATATACCGTAAACCGGGGCGAGTCTACCCATTTTTTCAGTTTGTCAACTTTCAAGTGGTCAAACTTTTGTAAATATTAAAGAAAAAAGGCTTTTAATAGGTGTTTTGGAATTGCTATTTATCCCTCTTTAAAGCTGTGAAATCGATTTTAGAAAATATTAACAGTTACGCTGTTACTGTATATTTTTATAGAACTGCTGACAAATCTCTCGTATGGGGCGAGTCTACCCATTCTACTAAAATGAATGTTAACATTGTAAATAATCAAATTTTACTATTAAATTGTTATTTTAGTTACTATATAGGATATTTATGAAGTAAAATTCA